GTGTGTTTTAGTGAAGTGTAGGGCGTGCGGATAAAAGCATTAGTGAATGGGCTTGCAAACTTGTCCACCACAAGAAAATATTTTCTTTGCAGAGAGCAGGTCATATCCATTATTGAATCAATGACATTATTACTTTATGTACCTAAGTCAATTGTTTTCCTTATTCTAAGCTTTCGACTTATATATAAGCCGTTTTTTTTTACCCTTTTCCACTGGAGGAAAACAAGCATAGGCCGCTTTGAATGGAAAAACAATTTTTCTTCAACCAGTCGTAAGTTTTTCCTTCCTCGGCCGGCGGTCGACAACTCTATTGACAATAATACACATTATTAACGACGCCGGGCTGGGAGCGGCGCGCGCCGACGCCGAGATAACGCCTGACTGATACCGTGAGCGGTGACAGCGCGCCGCTTCCGACCGGCCGATTGGCTTTATTCGCCGGAAGGACTCCTCGCGCTGGACTGATTCACCTTAATATCATGCGGCTGTGTCGTTGTGCAATTGACCGAATCTGACGTTCAAATGACATCATATTCATCAAATGACAAGACTTGATATGCGTTTGACCATTTTCTGTCCCCTAGGTCAGACCCTTTTAAAACTGATCGGCAAACGGCCACAAACGGTTTCTAATGAAAAACGTTTTTGATCATTTACAAGTTTTGAAAGTTCAAATAGTCATGAAATCATCACTTATCTTAATTTCTCATGAACAATTTCCTCTGAAAATCTCCAGATGCTTGTCAGGGAGCGCAAGCAAATGAGTAAGTTCGACCCACGTGCTTTTTCAGGAGGGAGCTCGGAAGCTGGAGGGTTCTTGGATGGGTGCAATCTTATTTATGGCGACGGCATCGGGGCGCATAGCTTCTCTCTCTCCCCTTCTCTCTCTCGCTCTCTCTCTCTCTCTCATCCCCCTCTCAACCCTCCTCACCCTCTCTCCTTTCTTTATCCACCCGCCTACCGTCTCCCCCCCCCCCTCCACGCCCACGCGGAACAAACGAAACACCGCCCACCACACCGTTGCGCTCAAGACGGCTGGCGGCGTCCTCAGCGCTACCAGACTGTCTGCCGTCTGGCCGCTGGCGCCACGTGGGTCGGGCGGGAGGGTAGGGAAACGGGAGAGGGGTGGTCGGTAGGAGAGGATCAACTACCACAATGCACCTCACAGAGGGGCGCATTACTTTCGCACAACGTGCGATTGCTGCTTGTCTGCACCCACTCTTTGCCTTTAAAAATCCTTCTTTTCAAAAGTTGTTCACTATCAAAACGTAACTTATTTTGTTTTCAATCCTTACATTGTGTTTATATTTAAATAGATACTTTGTTGTATGATGGACTGATTTCTATAAACGTTTTGCACTGTGTGGAGAAACGCTAAAGGATTTGTTAGCGACGCCGTGCTGTTGTGCAACACAGTGGTAGTGCACGTGGTGCACGGGTGGCGAGGACCCCGTCGTGAGTGGTCCCTGCCGTCCGCCCCGGCCGACCCCCTCGACACGCCCTTTGAAGGGGCCGTGGCCGTGCCGTGGCCGTGCAGCAGGTGGGAGCACTCATGTCTGCTAATAGTGCCCGGCCCCCGACCGCCCCGTGGGCGCCGCAGCCACACGGCCTAATGGAAGCCGCTGCCGGCAAAGCAAAGCCGCTTTATTCGCCTTTCCTGATTCGTATTATTATCAGCAGCGCGGTGGTGTTGTGCCGATGAAAAGAAATTTCCAACATGCGAATGGGGTAAAACTCGCACCTGGAGTGGAAATGGGGTTTGCCAAAAGGGAAAGGCATTCACATGATCCAAAGCGCAGTGTGGCCAGACTGGTGCCACCGAGGTTGTGACTGTCAAAGAATAATGGAACCTACTTTCCAACAGCATGGTTGGCGTGAAATTAAATGGTTCGTACTCGTGGATAATTGAAAGGGGCATAAAGGAGCAAGGAGGCCATGTATCACTTTTTGGAGTGCTGAGCCGAGTGCCGCGCAGCCGAATGCTCCGTTCCAGGTCGTTAGTTCCATTCGATGATGAGTGTACACACCCCGTTCTCCGACTGTATTCGCCGAGCTGCTGCCTCTTTCCTCCTTGCGTCGGCACGCTTAGGAAAAGAATTCTATTTGGAAGTACGTACGTATTTGCTTGAATTGTTATACTCTCCAATCCGTACTGCATTTCGCTACATTTCTAGTGGCAGTACGGATGATCTTTGAAAAACGTACCTTTTATGAGACTTTGTTACCTTTCGATAGCTGAGTCGAAAGGAGATTAATTCATTTAGTCAGTATTTTCCTTCTCGCCGCCCTCGACCTATCGAATTATCGATTATTGTTAAGTTGGGGCAGAGGGCATCGGTGTAATAAAAGTTTTAGGAATTTAGATGAGGTCATGGTTGCAAACATCCAGCGTTCCTGAAACGAAAACTTTCTATAGATGACCTGTATAATTTGTGGGGGAAAAAATATTATTCCTTACAACGGTTTAGACCACGTTCTGAACCCTTTACCTCTAGCCATAATTTATTATGCCTAACCAAAAAATAGACAAAACTGCGCGGCCCGCTTTTGTCCCGCTTGTTTGGACCTGAAAGAAAGTGCGTGGCCCAAGAGTCGCGAGGTGGTGGTGGTGGGTGGAGAGGGGTTCGCTTCAGTTTGTGTACTCAATGCCCCCGCCTTACAGTTTGTATGGCCTTGCCTGGACACCGACCTTGAACTTGGTCGAAGCTGTGTGGCAACAATTTCAGTTATGTGCCTCGCGAATGGGGTGCGAGGCGCCCCTGCTTACACTTCTCACACATGTAAGCGCGTAAGCACGCGTACACACACAGCGGCTTCCATCCCCATTTGAATTCATCTCACGTGTCGGCACACACATCACCTCGCTCGGCGAGTTGTACTATGAGGTGCTCACAGCCTACCAAAAAAATGTAAACGATCACCATTACGACAAGCAAAATATATGGACATGCCATCTTTCTCGTTTTATCTGCAAAGAGTAAATAAAAAAGATAATTTTAAACATTTATTTACGGCCACGGTGTCGATTCTGTGCTCAGCGCAACTCACGTCCATGGGGATATCGCAATATCGCACGATACGCAGCGGATTTAAGAGTAACG